TTCAAACCAGCCAAGGTGCAATGAATTAACCATATCCTAATATATGATTTACAGTTCTATTTTTACCTATAACCTTATTAGTAACTCAACACCTTACTGTATATAGTCATGTGTACTCTAGCATAGAGTCTATACCACTACAGTCTATAGTTATGGCTGGCAAATATCTCTTAGGATAAGTATCTACCGTACATTATACTAAACATGGCTAACAGTCTACAATCACAATACTAAGTTACATTTCAAAACAGCTAAACTAGTACGGCATTAACTGGTCATCAATTTCATTGAGGATCTTCTTACATGATAGATAATGCTATTATTGGAATATTTAGAGATTGTTTCCTCCCTAATAGTGAATTTGAATCAGTTATGTATGACATTTTGCCGGACATATGTGTATACTTATACAGCAATAGCTAGAAGAAAGGGTAATATATTATACACAGATTTACACATTCAAAACAGAATAAATGAACGTTCACAAGGAATTTTAAGATAATTTCGAATTCAAGTAAATAGAAATCATAGTAACTAAAAATATCCGCACTATTCTTCGAATTTTAAATTTAACAACGGTATCCGTAACGGCTGGAAATGAAAGTAGAAATTGATCGCTAAATTGGTCTTGGTAGCATGATGAATTCTGCTAAGCGAGTCAAAGATAAATCGTGCATTATTCTACTCCACTTATTTCTTCCTCTTTCTGTGTTAGCGGTAATTCTTCAAACAGATTGTCTAGTGCATTGTCTTTATGAATTTCACTTTCACAGCAGCAACAGCAATTGCTACCCATACATGTTAAAAATGATCTCTTTAAGAGAGGATTAACCAAGCTATACATAATTGGAATGCCAGAACAAGTTGATATATATAAAAGTCGGAAGAGATGTGCTAATATCCAATCGTGAACTGAGAAATGATTATTAATTACCTGCATGGTTAAATTAGTAAAAGTAAGATAGCTAATGAGAATCATCCAGGGAGCTGTAGTTAAGATAAAGAACATCGTTAACGTAAATAAAGCAAAGATATGGCTTTGCTTTGATCTTCGTCGAGAGTCAATAATTCCTAAAGATTGTGTCCGTTCCGCAGATCTTATCCTAGTACGCATAATAATGAAAGCCTTACTGTAGCAATACAAGGTTGTAATTAATAAAACAGTATAGAGTGAAACTATTGAAACAACAAAGTAAATTCGGTCAAGCGGACTAACAAGATTACCAAATGGTAAAAGTAGACAATGCTGTAACGAGCTAGATGGATGACGGTGCATAACAAAATTGGGTAACGAAATTAATATTGCCATAATCCAAATAGCGATATTGGTTAATCGTGTAGAAAATCTTTTCGTGTTCATTTGTAGGTAATAAACAACCAGAAATGAAGTTAAGCCCTCAATTGAGGCCACTGCTAGGGTAAATAATGTAGCAGAGAAGCTCATCATAGTAATAAAGCTAATGATATTGCATAATGAATCCATAAAAGGAACGTTATCTTGTGATTTAAGTGACCATGAAATCCAAACCAATAACGGGATTGTACAGGTTAAATCAATGACTGATAAATTTAGAAATAGCCAATGAATGTCATTATGTAAATTTTTTAATCTTGGAATTAACATTAACGTTAATAAGTTGCATATTGTACCGATCGCTGCGAAAACTAAATAAGATACACTTACGATTAATGCATCATCGGTTGATAGATTAATTACGGTTAAGGAATCATTTCCAAAGCCATTTAGCGGAGCAACAGTTCTATTCATCATATCAATAATGTAAAAAATGCGAAAAAATTAAATAGGTACCATTAAAGAATGCAAACTAGACGCGATCTTCTATCAAATGGTAAAAAATTTATTGGGACTGATTTCTTTTAAGCTGGAATATAATATCACCAAGCGTTCTAGGAATAAAAATCGAAAGAAAATTTGCGTTTCGAGATAATCCAACTTAGATTGCATTCGTGAGAAATGCTTTAATAGCATGCAAAACCTTAGTTTTATAATGTAGTGTAACACTAGATTATTGTTTAATACGCGCTTATTAAGTTAATTGTTAAAAGCGCCCACGCACAGGTTAGCCAGATGTTGCCAAAGCAATTCTTTACCACGTAGAAACATCATTTTAATGCATAGGAATAATGCATTTGTTACACTTAACTGTAGGCGCTATTAATAGTACGATTTATAATAGGTTCCTTCAATTTCTGCCAACCTGTAAAGTAGTATCACCTTGATTGATGAAAAAGTAAGAAAATTTTATCATTACAATTAATACAATATGTACAAGTTTGAAAAATTTTGTAAATAAGCTAACAGCAGAGCATAATGTTCTGGTTAGCTTCACTCTCACTGATATTTGCTTAATCCACAATTTCTATTGCTAATTTATTGTTATTAATTTCGATAATAGATATACATAGGTAAGTGTCTATTTTACTTTCAACAAAATAGAGTAGTTTACCGATATATGTAGAGCCAGTTTAAAATGGTGTTCCTTAATAGTGCGTTCCAGATAACAATATATTCTTGTTCGTTGAATTATAATGCGGCAGCGCGTGTGAAAGCTTTACTGTAAAATTGTATTTCATACTAAAATCTAACCTATTGCCATCTCTAAGGAACTTATAATATTTATAACGCTATATGACAATGACTTTGTGTTTACTATCAATAAAATGAGTCAATTTTAAGCAATATGTGTCTTTAATAACACAAGTAGACAGTGTTTACGAGACAATCACACCTTCGTATATTAACAGATTTACTCACAGTAATGAAATTTCGAAAATAAGATAGAGAGGTATTGAACTTTAAATAATATTTTTTAGCTACCATAATCCGATAATAAATTTCTACAAACGAAGCCTTTCATCCAATACGGGAAAAAATTTAAGAACAAAGCTTATTATACCTTGCAAAATACTGAAGTCTGGATTTATTATATTAAGTATAGTATTGAGAATAAGGAGTCAATATGCTAGTTGAAAACAAATGCGGAGCTTACATTTATACAGAACAACAGTTCTAAATGCTATGAAAATTTTTTAAGAACAATTTATTCAGCATGACAGTAATAATTCATCAAACCAATAATAATAACATTGCTCAGTAATAATAGCTTAAAGAGATGGTTTTTAGGTTTACCTGAAGACCATCATAATTTTAGTATCTGGAAATGAAAATGTGAATCAACTTACGTGATTATCTTTAATCAAGGTTTTAGTTGCTTAAAATAGACACTAAATGAAATATTATTAGATAGTAATAGCAATAAAGCTATTCTTAATAACTATTTACTCCTCAGCTATACTAGATTTTGATGACGTTATAAGTGTTCTGCCATGTTAATAAAAGATTCCGTCATCATCATCTTAGAATGCAATGCAAAAAAGCAAATAAATGCAAATCTATTTTTCCTTTCCCTATCGATCTTGAAACTATTAATTTCTGCAAACCATTTGCGACTTTTGTAATGTGCGAAACTACAGTACTGTATGTAGACTAATACTAGAAATCGTTATTCAGTCAATCTCTATAGTAAAAATATAGTAAAATATACTACCCGTAATGCCAGATCTTCTTTTCCGTTCGATATTTTATAGCATTGATATTCTTTTCATTCTAGTACTTGCTCCCGAATACAGTGAATCTTCGATTACCTTTTCTCACAATTTAAACCCTGCGACAAGGAAACATACGGCAAAAGTCTATAATTAACTAATGAATTGATTGCTCATCTGCAAAACGTCAAGCATACACAGCAAAGTATCGTAAAGATAGAACTGTTAATATCATAGAATTATCTACAACTTTTCACCGTACAACACAACTCTAATGTTACCGTTTATATAGGAACCCTCTAATTTATAAACAACAACAGTATTATTATTTTACCTTACTAGGAGCGTTACATCGAACTGAGATGTTCCTTTGTCACAAACCAGCTTCGTGACAAGGATAACGTAAAATAAATCTCTAATTTACTATAGTCTCCGGGATTCAGTATCCCTTAACTACCTCACAAGAATTTAGAAGCCTTATATTCTACGTTAAACTCAACTAGACAATTGAGAACTGCTTTATTCAACTATCTGATGGGCTTATGTACCCTTCTACAGCAGCTAACATTCACAAGTCATCTTATAAAAATACTTAGGTGAGAACATCTACTAACTAGTTTTTCATAGTCGGACTACAATATGTCCATTCACAGAATCATTTCAGTACACATTACAACACAGCATTAAAATTTACTGTAACACACTTATAATTAGAGTAATTCCTATTGTAAGTAACTAGATGTAATATATTATCACTATATTATATTAACCAAATTTAGATAGCTATTTCTTCACGGTAGTTCGTACCGCGACATCCTTACATAGATTTTCTATCAGTAGATGTTTTTAATCTCTTATTTCTGCATAATTTTTATCTTAGCATGTATGTTGTATAGATCAATTATCATTAGCTAGAACTTGAATCATCTTACTACTGCCTACACATAATAGCAATCAATATAAAATATGTAAAAAACTACCACAAATAACATCCACGTTAAGGAATTACTTATCTTACCTAGCACTACAAATACGTATTAGCTAATACTGTACTATTAAACTATCCTAACTGTACGGTAATACTGTAACACCTTTTAAGAGAATTTAAATCGGTACAATCTACCAGCACCTTATTCTTTTATATCAACAAGAGTAATGTTACTCCAATAACCATTCCTGCGGACTGTAGCAGTATAAAAAACTAAGAGTATTGCAAATGTAAAAATTGATATGATCTTTAGCTATTCCTATAGACCATTGCATATTCGAAATTTGAGAAAAGCTTTCATTTTAGTGTATAATAACGGATTAGACCAAAAGGGCTTAATTTTTTTAATATTAGCATATGCAGATTGTAGTGTGACCGTTACATGCATGAATGTGAAACATCTTGACTGTTCATTGCTTATACACATGTTAGTTATTCTAACCTTTCAAGAATCTTCCTCGTTAAATTCTCCACACATTTCCTTAAATTTTCGTTGAAAACTTGGAATGCAAAAGGAATAGCATATCGGGTTAACCAGCGGTGGCATAACATAAAGAATATGAGCAACCTCGAATAAAATCCACAAATGGGATCGATCTACCAAAACTATTTGTAAAATTTCATCCGCATTACATTTACTAATAGCTATAACCCACAAATAAACCATAAACGGCAACATTGTAATTAAGAAAATTGCTGCTACGATAATAGATAACACAACAACTGGCTTCTGGGCCTTTTTATTGGAATTTTGATATTTCTGCTGCTCGGCACCGTTGCTAAACCTTGTAGAACTGGTTGTAGCTAGTGTTTGTAATTTAAGTTGTGAATGTTTCTTTAACTCTCTATCAATGCGAATGTAACAGAACATCATAACGAAAGCCGGTGTGAAGTAAAAGATAGCCGTTATAAATATAGTAAACGCAAGATTAAAAGTAGAAAATCCATTAGGCAAATGATGTGTAAAGAAACAGCGATTATATACTGCCGGTGTCACTTCGACTATATAATATGTAGGTATGGAACTGGCTATAGCCGTACACCATATTACTGTCAAAAGTAAAGCCATTTTTTTACGGCTTAATCTGGTACTTCCAGCACGACGCATACTGCCTATGACGATGCCACGATAACTTCCAACTGCCATGCTAGTTGCCGTTAGGATGGACACGAAGTTTGTTAGAAAAAAGAAGAGGTAGCTTATCTTACAGATTCCATTAGAACCAGTGATTAGATCTTTAATATTAGATGGAGCTTTCTTGTTTTCGTTATATGAATCCTCAGCTGCGACTATAATATAAATAGTCTTTACGCCAATTAGCGTAACAGCAATGGCTGCTAATAGATCTGCTACAGCTAGATTAGTTAGCAAAGTGTTAAAGGAGGATAAATTGGAGAGATTTTCTCGAACTCGATCAGATAACGGCTTCTTCCTTAAAGTTATGATTACTGATATATTAAAGGCTATTCCAAGAAGTCCAATCAAGATAAAAATTGCAGCAATAGGTTTCTGTCCAGCAGTAGCAATCTTTAAATCCAACTTGGGATTAGCGGATAATACTTCTGATAACATGCAATCGCTATGCGAAAGATTGCTACCATTATTAGATACCATCCTAGCCAGCTTTTAATGATATTATCTAAATATTACAGTAATTTAAAGTCAAGTTGAATCATACTAAGAAAAAATTTCTTACTTATTGCTACGATTAAAAAGAAATACTGAAGTCTTTTTACAAGCCAAAAACTAACTAGTATGAGCTTATCCATTAAATATATCTATCTAAATTACTATAAACTCTTTTTATTAACTTTAAAGATGCTTAAGTTAATCTTTTTGTAGTCAATCATTTTAGAAATACCAAATCGCTTTGTAAAGCGAATATTAACAATTTCTTCCACCTTAATATAGCTATGACAGCTGGTGAACGGTATACTAGTATTGCGACTAGCTAATCATCAATATAATCATAGACAAATTATACTAGGCTATTATATACTATATAATAGCCCGTTAAGGTATAAAATTTTAATTTCCTGGCTATAATATCTGGCTATAGCTGGAAGTTTTGTGATTTGACTAGATATTAACTGTCACAACTGCAAGTTAAACTTAAAAGAAATCTCCTTTACTTTTACGTCAGCAACGAGTAACAATAAATAACAAATTGCTTACGAGCAACTTAAAGACTCCTTCAAACTTAGCATAAGCCGAAAATTCCTCTTTTTTCTATTATATCTCCTTTTTATAATAGTATATTTGATACATCGATACTCTATAATTGTTAGGTAAGTTAATAAAGCCACGACAACAGTAAATATGTTTTAAAACATAATCTCTCGACAGTAGTTACCCCTAAAATGGTGAGCATAACCAGTAATAATCCCTAATATGGAAATTAATTGAACATAACATTAACCATCGTAACCGTTGCTTTAGGTACAAAATGTATTACTGGTGCTCCAGCTTTGGAAGCAATATATTCGCTATACATGTAACGTAACTTAGCATTGGTTGGTAGACTATTTGCAATGTTAATATAATACGTTAGGATATGCTTAGTTTATCATGTTTTTGTCTGGTAAAAATAATGTCGACGAAATTATTGTAGCAGTTATGATGTTCGATTATAGATGATCTGCTATAAAATTTTGTCACTAACAATAATCAGATAATTTTTAAAATATGTTAGAATAATGTTATGCAGACTGTAGGTACTATTGCTATAGATTATTTAAGTAAGCAACTTCAGATTCAGTTCTTCAGTCTAGAAAATCTTTCTTGTAGTTATATTCAAGTAGAGTAGAGCTGTCTATAAATTATCTTTGTACAAAGATCTAATAAAGTTCTAATTTCCTACTAAATTTGAAATTTAGTGATCGGTTGCATTCCAATATAACGTATGTGTGGTATGCGGTATAGTTTCAAATAGCAGGATATACATAAGGAAACAAGTAGATAAATAGACCTTGTTTCTTAGCAATTTTATTAAAAGTTCAAAAAGCAACAAAAAATTTTAGCTCGCAAATATTTGATTGCGTTAAATTTCATTGTTTACTTTGAAACATATGGCAGTTTATTAATTCGCTGCGACGTCAGGTTGAATATTAGTTTTTTTTGCGATCACGAGAATGACACCTCAAAACGTAGCATAGCATTATATAAACGGTAAAGTTCAACGGCGTCGTAAAATTTCTTTCATAGCAAATTAAGTAGTAAAAAAGGGTTATGTTATAGTGATTCACTACCTAGTATCAAGATACCTTTAACAGTATTGTAATACAAATCGAATTATCTATTTATACAAAGTTTTCCTCTATAATCCTAGAAATATTTCCGTGATGAAATTAAATTAATTTCCAAATTGAGTATTTCCATCACGAAAAAGATAGAAATACAGATTGGTATTAAAATTATCGATCTATTTTTTGCACCATTCTTGGTTACACATTTAAAGAATATACTAGTTCTAATCCCATATACGAAAATATCGATACCGCTTATGAACTACCTTGCAGTGATTGTTAAATATTATCTAAATATGTTTAGCATGTTATAATTACTAGACATCATCCCATCGAATACTGAAAAGACGCAAGAACATTTCTAGAATTTCATATTTTTCAGTTCGTTAATCAGAATCAACAGTAACTTTAATATTATGAATCTTTAAAGTATTTGAACGTTTATTTAATTTTGAAAATTTATGACAATATCTATTCGGGCAGCTTTTTAACTATAAAACTAAATTTTTATTTATAGAAATTAATATTATGAGTTTATGGTCTATTTAAGCCTCAAATCTTAAAATAGCGTGGGCCTACGAAGATGTATTTTTAAATTTGGGTTAAAGATGACCAACTTTTACTCTAGTAATTAACGATTACCCCATACAAACTGCAATATCTGATTAGAGATAAGCATTACACAAATACTGATCAAGCAGTAGTGAAACCGAACTGATAACTTTAAAATCATTATAAGGTAAATGACCGCTAATCGATAAACATTTGTTTCCAAATCCTAATCTTCCTCAATTAATATATTTCTTGTAAACAAAGCAATTTCAATAAGATATTAGCAATTTGCATAACTATACTAAGAATTGATATTACTTTTAGAGACTTAAATGACGTTCATCGGCAAGCAATTTACATGATTACAGCAAACCGAGTGTGGCAAAATTTATAATCATCATCTCTCTTATTGTTTAATGTAAGAGAAATCTACCGCATTAAAGGGCTCTCTATGAAAGGTATATATGACGAACCCGATATTAATATTTCGCGAAAATTAAGATAGATTTTTTAAATGCGGAAGACTTATAATATTTATCAAGGAAATGTTATAGTAAAAAAATGCTTTTTATCGAATAAAATTTAGCTTACGAATTATCTTTACTGCTATCTACGATTGCAACACCCAAGCGAAAGTTCAAATCAAAATTAGCTATAATGAAAACAATTGCCGCCTCCGCTGATAATAAATTACAATTAATTTATTTTTCCCAATCTTACCATAAATTATTTAGCAATAAACCTGTCCACAAGATCTTTACTAGGTATACATACAACTCTTTCAAAAAATTCGTGTCTGCAGGAAGATTACACAGGATCTTTAATAAGGTAAAGGAACACTCTTTGGTTACTCAAAATGTCCTGTTACTTCAAAGCTTTCCAGCTTTATAGATCAAAATACAGTAAAGAAGCTATATAAATATAATTGGCATTTGATGACCTGGTGATCATTACTTAACAAATTGTGCAATTGAAAGCTGAAAACTTATGTAAACATATGGTAGATTGCCACAATTACCTACATTACTATATGATAATACTGAGTCACATCGAGTTTCAAATCAACATTACATAGCAATTTTGGTCACGAAGTTGATATTCAAGAATAATTTTAGCGATGAAGAGATTTACAGTCGTATAAAGTCTTTGTGAAAAAGCCATCCACAGTAGTATATACTAGAATTGTATTATTATTAAATGTATCTAAGAGAGGGTGTAGAAAAGGATACAATAAATGCCTCCATGAAACATGCCTAAAAGTCGTCTTTTTATCTACCCACCTCTATTTAGCAGAGGAAAAGTATTCTGTTTCAAATTTTTGCACTATTGAACTAAGTGCAGTTTTGCTTCTTCTTACACTCAATTTCCGTAATATCTTTGAAGGATTGCTATTCAAAAGTTATAAGCTTTTGGTGCCCATAATTAAGGAAGTTTGCTTACACCTGCGAGCATTCTTGATTTTCTTACGGTAGAGATCATAACGGTCTTGCTGCTACCTTTTACTAAGGCTTAGTTAAATTATGCTTACGGCTAGTTAGTCTTAAACCTCCTTCAACATTTATAGAACATAAACAGTCTCAAGAAAGCGTATCGCTTTTATATATTTGATCAGGAGTAATAAATAACGGGAATTTTATGGGTTATGAAGAGTACTGCTAACACAAATATAGATAAGTTTAAAGCCAGGCTCAACTAAGCATACTCCATCATAAAGTAAATCTAAAGGTTATATAAACTAATCTTTATGGTATTTAAATGATAAATAATTATTACAGCTTTTTTTGGATGTAAAATTAGTCAATAAGAATGAATTGAATATACGTGCTATTATTATCAACATATTAAGCTACCGAGTAGTAGTTAAACTTATATGCCATAATTTAAGAGACCTGTTCATCGAAATCTTTAGTTATTGCAATAATATCAAAATAATAAAGCTTAAAAATTCTGTGATTAAGTTTTGCTGGTTGAGAAATAATCTGTGATTTACGATAAAATAAACACAACATAGCAAGACTACAATCACATATATATGGTAATTGAAGCTTAATAAATTTTAGTTTCAGGTAGAAACGAAAATTATTAACTTGTCCAAAGTAAAAAATCTAGCGAAAAAAATTGTTTTTGGTTAAAATAAGAGTAAAATGACTATTGTACTTTATTTACAGGTCTTTACTATAACACATAGACGATTACAAGGCGTGTAATTGAAAGCTATGATTTATCCATGCAATTCTTTAATCAAATTAATAATGTAAAATCATACACTGATAATTGAATTGCAAAATCTATTTTGCATTAAACAGTATTGACCTTGTCATTGTTAGCGTTTTCAAAGCAGTAGGTATGTCTACGTATTCTGCATGTAAGAATAATAGAGGAATTGTTTAAATCAGTCATCATAGTTTTACACTCGTCTACTTTCCTAATGTATTAAGAATAGATAGCAATAAAGAATATCGTTCCTTCAATGAATATTCTGCATGATGCTTAGCTTTTTACTTCTAGATAATATTACCTGGGCTCTTAAAACAGGCGTATAAAAAGTATTTAATCCGCCATTATTCAATAAACCTTTCATATCAAGAAACAAGTCAATCAAATTATAAAATTTCTTTCAAATATTTCACATTTGCTTTCAACTCAATTTTGCTTCCTCATCAGGATTAATCTAAGCCATATGGCAAATAATGACGAAGTACAATATTGTATTAGCATAAATGAAAGCATAATATGAGAGAATCTAAAGCCTTGTTTCTACTCATACAAGTAATCATGCTTTTCCAGCAAAATACATATGAGATATAACATACTCCA